AAAGGGTTCGACCCCGGATTAGGGCCAGAGCTCGCCAGGCTTCCGTTTCCCTCAATTAGCAAAGTACAGGATTATTGCCGATGTGGAATGAGAAAGAATACAAAATTCCACAGTGTGAAAGTAGCGTGTAAGTAAGCATAATACTGTTTTCTGTAAAAACTGATATTTTTACCAAGTACAAAAAATAGATTTAATCTGTCTCCAGGGCCCTGTTTCATAAAAATACTAGTCTAGTAATTACTAGTCCCGTATTTACCTGCCCTACTAATTTGTGTTTCATAAACGTTTTTATACCGCTTGTTGGATATTTTAAGTTTCATGATTTTAAAATCAAACAATTTCTTATTTATATTTTTACGTTTAAACAAAACCTAGCCCAAGTAATTTTGCGCTATTCAGCCGCTCTACGCGATAACGAAGGTATGCGGCCTTTGCCCTCAACGCTGATATCCTTCCAAACGACTCAGTCCACTGTCGTCCGCCGCTGAATTATCACCATATTTTCTATCGTATATCCGCATCATCTTTTCAACATCCCGCAATTTTTACCTTTTTACTTTTTAAATTAATCAGTCTGTACAGTTCTAATAGAAGTGACAATAGTTTTGTTTTTATCCTTTATTTTTGCCTTTTGGGTGAGTTTTGCAAATTTTTCTGAAAATTAGGTTAGGTCACATGTTGCACTAGGTTTGGAACCTAGTTGAAGGGTCGTGGAAGTTTTTTGGTAGTTAGTTTCCCTTTTCTCTGTTGTTTGGTAGAATTCAGGGCTTTCCCCGAGATGCTAGGCCTAGAATTTGACTGAGAAATGTTTGTTGGAAGGCCGCTATTTGGGAGAAACTGCCAAGTCAGTTTTTGTCCTTCTGACTGTTTGTGGTATGCCTAGGCCTACAATTTCACTCATTAAATGTAAATGTCTTAGGCTACTACTTCTGGTAGTCTTTTGTTTTGTGTCCCGTAAAATTTTTAGTGTTGTTTTGTCTTGTAAAATGTTCAGTTTGTGTTACCCAGTCAAGTACTGTTAAAGTCTTTTATTTTGCTTTGTTCTTGCCAAACTAGTTAAATTAAGTTGATTTAACTGCTCTTTAAGCTCCCCAGAAAGTTTGAGTCATTTTAATCAAGTTTTAAGAAAGATACAGTAGTTTTTAGTTTGGCAATTCTCCATTCAGGTCTTAACTGGGTAACCTGGAAGGCCACTGGTTTCAGCCTTTGAGTTATGGTTTGCAATGGTCTGGAAAGTTGCTGGAACATTTCCCCCAGCTTTTAAGACCATTCCAAACAAATTCGGACCACAACTTTTGGATAAATTAACAAGAATACATGAGTTGTAGCGTTAGGCCTAAATTAATTATTATTTTTTCTGTGTTTTAGTGTCATTGTTTATGGTTAACTTGTTCTTCTGGCCACTTTGGACCAGGCAATTTACATTTTTCCTCTCTATTGGTGAAATTTATCAATGCCACATACCCATCTGGCCTGCTGGCATTTTTACCGCAATTATTTAATGTTACCGATCTTGTACTGTTTTACCTGTTAGTTGTTTTGTTTAAATTATTGTTACTGTTTAAAATGTTTTATATTTCTAAAGAGCTGTTAAAGAGAGACAAACCTTGAAAATTTATTATCTTTTGAAAAATGTTATGATAGGCCTAATTAGTGAAACTTTTGGAACTCAGTGAAAAGCGGTTTAAGTGTGGCAGTGAAAAGTGTAGGAACTTTGGATTGGAACTGTTACTATTGTGTTTTCTGGGTTTTGTTACTCAGGGCCCGTGAGGAGGAAAATGATTGACCAACTTCAGCCTTGGCGGAGAGGAATGTTTCGACTAGGCTGGCGCTGGGTAATGGCCCCCTCTCCGCCCTGCTTCTTCTCCCCTCCGGTGCTGTCCGCCCAGCTTCATGGCCCTCCGGTGTCACACACTTGAGGACTGTTACCGCAAGTTACCGCCTATTTGTTATTTATTATTGCTGTTGCCTAATGGACTTGGAGATTGTAATATTTGTTGACTATTTATAAGCACAGCATTCTATTTGTTATTTGTTTAAAATTTTATTCAACAGTTTTTGCCTAATCATCCAATTTTTAAAATTTTTTTCTACAGTATTTATTTTTGGGGCCCCTAGATAATTGTTAACTATTCAGATGTTTATTAAAAGAGTCATTATATATATTATTGTTGTAATTTGTTAATTCTTTTTTAATTTCTTGAAAGGTAAAGGATAGTAATTGTCTTATTTTAAAGTTAGCATATTTTGATGATTAAAAGAAATAACTGTAAGTTGGTAGGCCAGACTGGTAGCTAAATTTATTTTAAAGTTTAATTGAGAGTTTCATGTATTGTTGTTAATTATTGTTGTTGTGTTTTTAAATGGTTTATTACAGCTCGTTTCTCTCAAATGGCGTGTTGTTCTTGAGCCTCCATCCATGGTTCTCATTTTGTTAAGTAAAGTTTTGTGAGCCGCTCCTCGGGCCTGCGCATGGATCACGCTTCCATTTCGTTAGTCTGGGTGCAGGCACGAGGGCATGGTTCACAGTTAATAAGTAAACAAATAATATAATTGATATTATTTTCAATTATTTAATGTGCACTGGATATTAATATGAGAAATATGTGAATATTTTTCTGATGATAGATTATTACGACAAGTAAGTTATACTGCACATATACTTGGAAATATTTCTTAAACTATTTAAGCCACAAAATAGTTTGGATTATTGGTATAAATAGTTAACCTATTTTGCTAAGAAAGCATCTCTTATTAATAATGCATTTGATTGCACACCATTAAGTTATACTACCTATGCAGTGTTGCTTTTGTCTGTGCTACCCATAGCCTAAGCATAGACTATAGGCCTAACTTGTGCATTTGAGAATTTGATTAAATTGAGGAAAGTAAAATAATATTTTATTGTCTTATCATTACTGCAGATTTGTTTAATGCTGAATATTTCTTATGTTTAATTTTCTTTCAACATGAGGTTTTCTTCCTTCACCAAACAGAGTGAGCTTATTCAAGCTAGCCTTGAATCAATAAATAAACAAATCAATGCATTGAAAGAAATTCAGGATGTGACTGCTTTAAACGAGCAGCAGATTGCTAAACTTAAACTCTTGTCTCAAAGTGCAATAAACAAGCACTCAGAATTTGAGAGAATAGTAAACATCTCGTCAGCTTCACTAAGGTCTGTGACAGTAATTCAACATTGTTTAGCACTTTAAAAATTAGCCCAATTAAGACTGATTAATTTCATTCTAAGTACATATATTCTTCTTATTATACCAAACACCGCTAGTAAATACTAGTGAATTTTACTAGTCACATGACCGAAACTACTAGTCACGTGACCAACTTTACAAGGTGAACTCTCAAAACAAATTTCTAACCTCAATCACGGGTTTTCTGACGCTTCATAAAGCGTTTTAATTTTGTTTTAATTTGATACAAAAAGTAAATAGTTGTAGAAACGCAGTGTTTTGTTTTAATTAATAACTATATAGACACATAAGTAAAACAATCACATATTATTTATCAAAACGCTATTATTTATGTTCATCAATGAGCCCGCCGACGCGCCGACGCGGCGTCACCGCAAACAATCACGGTCATTGTAGTAGTAGCCGGTTGTAGGCCTTGTTGAGGCGCTCAACAGTAACAGTTGGGTGGAAATTGATCTGTTGCTGCCGCATTCGCTGTGATTTGTATAGTTTTTGTTTTATTCTGACATATAAAATTAAGCTTGCTATGAGTAAAGAAAAGAAGGCTCAAATTTTGAATGTAATTAAATCGTCTAAGGACATTTTGTTTGGAACGTTTTCAAGTACCGTACCCTAACCTATGATTTCAAATATTCGAATGCATAAGAAACCATTCGGTGATATTTTTATTTTGAGTCTACAAACCATGAATAATAAGCCTAAACGTTTATTGATGTAACAAAAAATTGAAACGCCATTACAAGCAATGGAGAAGTAGGTTTTCAAGTATAGTAAAACATGGCATTGGCGCTATGGCTGGGCGTAGTTCAAAGGGAGAGTTTTCGCTTCTCATGTGGCGGGTCCCTGGTTCAAATCCGCACCACTCACTATACTTTTTATTCCATTAATTAAACTTTTACATGTTTTTACATTAAAATAACAGCTCTAATCAACATGAAACGAGTAATCTATATATATAAAATCCAATGTATGTTTGTTTGTATGTTTGTCCTTTATGGACTCCGAAACCGCTCGACAGATTGTAATGAAACTTTTAGGCATTATTAAGCATTATTCAAGGATGGTTTGTGTGAAGTTTGATGCAGATCCGTCAATAGGGCTCTGCCCCAGTGGCTCTTGAGTTTCCCATGTAAACCTTATGAGTACTCATATTTAAATGGAATTAAAGAATCTTAACAGCTGGTGCAGCTAAACAATTTGATTCTGTGATGTTCAATAGCATTAAAAAGTTAATAGGTTTACCAACAGGGTGCAGCACTATATTTTTTTTTAATTTATGAGAACAGCTAATTTGCAACCAAAAGGTGAGTGAGCGTAGCGAACGAACTTCAACCTGGAGGCGAGTTAGCGTAGCGAACGAGCTAACCTGAAGGCAAGTGAGCGCAGCGAACGAAAAAAATGAATAAAATGTCTACAAGGCTGCGGTGTTTGTGTGTGGCAACATCACAACGTCATGCCTATTGCCATGGTAATAACAGAAATAACAAAAGTGTAAACATACATATTTCCTATACTGTCCATTATAAATTATTGCAACAGATGTTTCGGTTTGACTGGACAGCGGTGAAGCCAGTTTTGTCTCGCTGCGGCCTTGTATTAGATGGCGGCTATGATTCTACTTACACTACATTAAACAAAATAGGATATAATTAAATACTTAGGTAATGGATAAGAAAAATGTTAAAGTTTAAAACACTTCTTTAATTACTTATTTACTTAAAATGCTTCCAACCACAATTTAAGTAAATCCCTATGGAAGTAAACAAAAGTTAATTAAAAACAACTCACACAAATGATCATCAGGAAGTTGTCCAAAAATCCAAACCCAATGAAAGGAACAGCATTGTGAATAGCAACTAAAACCAACAAATATACGTAATTAGATCAAAAGATTGACAAGTACAATTTGTTCTATGACAGTATAAAGCCAAGGAATATTGGTACTGCATGGTCATAAAAAGTAGGAAAGGTCATTGGCTACATCCTACAGGTCAAACGAAAATCATCAACACTCACCAGTACATCTGGCACAAGTCCAATTAGTTTGGATGAAAAATGTTTTCCTAATTAGGCTAGTGTTAATGTACTAACATCATGATGCTTGATATTTTCTAAATGTGATACAGAATTGAAAGGATCGCTTGGTTAAATTTGTTTGACAAAGATTATATTTATTACTGCATTAAATGTGTCAACATTCTTAACTGTAATAATATTTTATTGTAACTATAATGGTTATAACTTATCCTCCAATTACACAAAAAGACGCTAGGCACGAGACTGGGATTGTTTTTCACATTACTTCAGGCTAGACCTAGGGGTTGCGGAATTATCACTTTAAGCTATGGTTCCACAGAATGCGGTTTTTTCCGCTGCGGAATTAAAACGACACTGGTTTAATGGAGTTCCCATGTGTGCGGTTCCACTGACGTAAGTTTCCGCATCCCGAATTTTCGGTTCCACATGGCAGACAAATCATACTGGTCTGAGAGCAGTGGCAGTGCGAGCCATCAATTAATTATTGTGAACTATCCTATAAGTTATTGTGATAATTTAGTTTCCTAATATTATTTCAATAACCTTATTCTTTTCGGGGCTTGTATTTTTTATTCGTGTATCAATGAAACTACAATTTAAGTTCAAATTGTAATTTTATTAATGTTTACTATCACCATCCTCATAAAAAAATTAATAAGGTGATTTTTAAGAACTTTTTTTTGTCCTAAGGACGCTAGGCACGAGCCTGGGATTGTTTTTCACATTACTTCAAGCTAGACCTAGGGGTTGCGGCATTATCACTTAGATAAAATCCATTGGTGACTTGGCGGGGATCGAACCCGGGAACTCAGGGACTGAAGTCCTGCGCTCTAACCACTACGCCAGCTCGCTCCCCCGATTTTTAAGAACTAGGTCTAACATCAGTTGACAATAAAAGTAACCACAATTAAAAATAATTAAGTCTGAATATTACCTAATATTATTTTATGGTATTTATGGTATTATATTTGTGTTCCATACTCCTCGCTAGTTTGGACAGAACTGAATTTCCGCAACGTTATTTCCGCAGTCAGGGGAACCACCCCTCCAGATTTACGCTACGTAATTTTCCGCAGCGGAAAATTACGCACCGCACAGCGGAAGTTCCGCAGTCTATGGAACCATAGCTTTAGATAAAATCCATTGGTGATTTGGCGGGATTTGAATCAAGGACCTCAGGGCACTCTCTACCACTAGACCAGCCTGCCCCCCCCCCCCCCCAAACATGAGATTGATAAAATCATTTGGTTTTATGATTCATATTCAATAATCTGTGATTTTTAAAATAACAATGTTAGTAAAAATACCCCCGCTGCAGCAAACCTGGAGACTAAGCGAATTTCCATTTGATTTACACTGAAATGTCTACTTAAAAATATAACATTTATTCCCGATTTAAATAGAATTAGTTTAACAAGTACTTAGGTTTGCTGCATCAGGGAGGTAAAACTGTTTTTTTTTTATGTTAATAGTTAGTAAGAAATAAAAACATTTTTCAAATTTGATCAAAATATGTTCATAAACAAGCAAACTACAACAGTTTACTTATTCTCCATAAGAATAACATGGGAATTTTAAATTTACAATTTTTTGGAATTTTCTCCGTAACCATTAGGCGCATAATAACGCTTCAATATACTAAATTATTTGTTTTTTTAAGCTCTACAAAATGGTTTGGAAAGAAATTGTTAAATTTTATGTTTTTTGGGTCAAAAATGTGAAAAACCTATTTTTACCCCATAAAACCCCGTTCCCATGGTCCGATCATGCTGGATCGCGAACTCGTTCGAATAAACGTAGGTTTACACGTTTGTACCGAATTTCATCAAAATCGGATCATTTTTGCTCGAGTTATCGTGCTAACGGATATATATATATATAAATATATAAATATATAAATATATAAATATTAAATATATATATATATATATGAATTTGAACGGATGGTGTTTTTGGTCTCTAGGGACCTCGAAAAAAAAAAAAAAAAATCGGTCCCGCGTCCAGGTCTTACCATGAGTACTACGGTAATAGCTTATTCCCTATATGGGAAATTCGCTAAAAGGGGGGGAAATGATACAATTTCCTCACAGTATTAACGTTAAAAGAGAAACTATATCACAAACCATAAAAGTGTGATCAATCGGCCGATTTGACTATGACTTTGGATAATATTCGTAAGAAATTTGCAACAAACACAAAAATTCTCCAAATTGTAGATAAAGTTATGTTTAATTGCTTTAAAACATACTAGCCTACATTTTTATCTTGTAAAACACAGAAAAGCATAGCAAGAAGTTAGAACCATTAGACCTAAGTTAACAAAAAACTTTGCAAATAGTGTACAATTTGAGTAAAATTAATTAGGTTTTAAAGAAATACCAGTTGCAAATGCAGAATGGAAACTTTTTATACCAAAGCACAGGTACCTTTTACTTTTTACTTGAAACTTTTATGTTGAAGACAACAAAAAATATAATTGGGAATAAGACCTCACAAAACGTGAGATGCCATGTTTAATCATATTGGGAAATGATACAATCTTAAAATGTTTTTTTTTTTATTAGTCCTCATATAAGAATTACATTACAAAATTAAACCAAATGCAGATGTTTTGGCATTCCACTACTCACCAACAACCAACTGAGGTCCTGTAGGCTTTGGCACAGTTTCCGCTGAAAAAGTCAAACAGCACAATGTTTATAACCAGCTTTAGCTATCATCACAAGAGTTACTAATTTGTACATGAAATTAAATATAACAAAACTGCTTTGTCAGTGGATTGCCCAACAGTTAGGTTTTTAGTGCTTGCTTGGTATTTTGACCGTGCACACTCCTCTTCTATACTTTACTTTTATATCTATACTTTTTGTCATTATTGTGGGCGTCCCAATATTTTGCCAAACAATGTTGTGCCGCAAGCTCGTGCAATGGGAAATAAAGTCCTGCTTTCAAGTAAACAAATTAAAGAGAGCCATGCAATTCACTCATTGCTGGTTGAATATGGTAACATTTTAAACTAGGGTACAGTGAACAGTTGATGAATCTTAAATTACAATTATTGCACATTAAAAAGTTAAGAAAATGTTAAACGATATGAAAATGAATCATGAACATCAATGTAAACATAGTTGTAAAAAGTCAACAATGCACTATTTTGTAACATGAGTTTTCAGAAAAAAATACGGTAATGTTTAATGCATGATGGTCTTATTTTTAAAGAAAGAGATTTAAAGAATATTAAGCTTACTATAGTAGAGGCAAATTAAAAAATCTTACGTTTTTGCTCTATGCAGGAAGAGGCAGCATGCAACAAAATGTAATATAAATAAATAGGCTACTGGTAATGATAGGCAAATTTTAATACATTCACTTTAAAAACTACTTCCATTCAAATCTTCCATTATAGCTTTTATGAATCGAGACTCTAAACACATCAAACCGTTTAATAAATGAGTTTAGATTACATAACAGGTATAAACAAATTTTCCTCAAAGATCTCTAGTGTAAGCGTAAACGTTTTTTCAAAGTCTCTTTCTACGTATACGATGTAAAAAAATTGTTGTCGTCATATTATTGAGTTTGAGTTTTTGGTATAAAAATTTCTTTTGTTGCTCCCCAGACCTAAAATAGTTATTTGTGTAACCAGTGAGCAAAGTGGCACTTTGCTGCACACAAGAGCAATGTTTACGAATGAATCTCGAGTGCAGCAAAGGCCTTTTGCACTCGTGTTACACATTATATTTTTCCTACAGTCACTATAAAGCATATAAATAATTAATCATTCAAACGCTATACAACACGTTTTTAGGTTAGGTTAAACCCAAGCCATGAACGGAATGGGAAATACTGCACCAGCTGATTGTAGTCGTAGTATCTTTAAGTGTTACTTATTTTCAAGAGTAGGTACAGGTATAAACAGTAATAATCAGTATAAACACATAATAAACAAGTAGATTGTTCTTTTAAAATATACCAATAAAACATTTTCTGACAGTTTTGTAACTTTCTTACTTACGTGCCAAGAGGAAAACAGTTTGTATGATCGTTCATACTTCATTCTTGATTTTTCAGGTAACAGGTTTAATGAAACATGTTTTCAGTTCCTGCTATTTCTGCTCTACCATTGTATTCACAATCACGTTCACCGAGTTCATTATTTTTAAACATGTTAGGCTCACTTATAATTCATCTTTCAAATACTACACTTCAGGCTATGTTTAAAGCAAGCGTTGAATGAAAATATAATATAAACTATAAACACGAAATGACAGGTTAAATCGTAGTTATAATAGTCATTCAGCTGATCATAGTATTATTATATTCAAGTGTTGCCAACCTAATTACAAGAGTACACAGATTACGTGCATAATAAAACAACACTGTTTTGTGTTGTTTGGTTGTAATCCTGATGTGCGCCAAAGTATAAACCGTATGACAAAGTATAAATATGCAGCAATTAGCAGCTTTCTGACTAGAAACAGTGCAAGGAAGCCTACTTTGTCGAGTGACTGTAGGAAAAATAGTTTGAATGATTTCTGAGTACGTATATGAACATTTACAAGTAGTTTTACCCTCGAGGAGGCACTTAACCAGTAAAACGGGAGCGGGCGCATGCAGAGTTTTTTCCGCAACACTAAATAGCATAAATTAAACTCATTTTACTTGTTGTTATATCGAAATATATGTAAATGTTGAATAACCTAATCAGAAACCTAATTTCTTTGTTAATAACATTATTTGTTTTACTTTATATGAGTAATATTTCAAATAATCATATTGAGCAATTTTCTAGTATAAAGGTATGTTACGAGAGGCGTGCAGAGTTTCGTTCCGCAATAATGCACTTATTGGACAAAACATATACACGCAAACGAAATATATTTGATAATAATAATAGATGAAATAATACATTTAAACATGTTTATAATTTTTTATGTATAAAATATACACACAATTTGACTATAGCGCATGAGGAAATAAACTCTGCGCTAAGGACTTACGTGATAGGGTACACGCGGAGTAAACCTCAAACTGCAGCAAACTGACACCGCGTCACTGAATTGCAGCTGACAGCAAAATGAAGAGGAATTCGGGGGTAAAAATATCTTAGGGGCATTCCCAGGATGAGGTGCGTGAAGTGTAGAGCCGGACACGACTGCCAACCCCCATTTATGTTAACAAAAACTACAAGTGCGGAGAAAAACTCCTCAAGCGCCCGCTTGAGGGTTAATTGAGTTTTAAATACATAATTGATACAAATATAGCAAGGCAGCATTACCATACCTTACAGTATTCAACTAAACAATTATCACATTGTACATCTGCCTGTGTGTGATTTGAGTTTTCTTTGGTTGCTTAAGTGATAAAAGTTCTCTATCAGCTGTTATTTTAAACACCTACCTGCAGACTAAGTGAGTTTTGATTTGCCTGAATTGATTTGAAATCAAATCTATTTAAATAACATTAGGTTTAACGAGTACCTATGTTTGCTGCTACAGGGAGGGTAATAAAGTGTGTTTTTTTAGTAAATTATTAATGGCTTAAGTATAAAGTACCTGGGGACCTAGCTTTGCTCGTGGGAAAATGTTTTGGAGTATTTTTAACTTGTGTAACTTCTTAAAATAATAATATTGTAGTTACTTTGTTTTGTAAGCAAAATTTATATAATTCTCTCTCATGTAAAATGGTAAACAATTGTTTTTTTTTTAACCAACACAATCAAAAACATTAAATAGAAAAAGAAGAAGTGAAAAATGAAGAAAGGTCGCATTTCCTTTATAACTAACACCAAATAAGCAGTTGTAGTAACTTTTAACAGGCACTTTTGTTTTACCTAGTTGCTCAAACATAAATCTTTAACAAACCTAAAAATAATGGGTGTTGATTTTCTTTTTTAAAATTATTCTGAAGTGTTTTTGGTAGACGCCCGCGTTTAATCTTTACCACGCAATATACAGGCCTTAACTCAATTGGTGATTCATTTTTGACAAAGTGTACACAACAATTAATAGAACAAAAAAATTGACATTTAAGTAGGGATAAGCTAATTCAAATGCACAGAAATAGGCTCCTAGGGGGAAAGTCATGCAAAAACTAAATCAATATACGTAGCCTACATAATTTAATTTAAAAATTTGTTTGGAACCTCTAAACTATAAAAAATATCCAGTTTTAAGACTATCTGTTTAGGTTGTAAAAAGTCAGTAGAAAGAAAATCTTCACATCATACCTTCCTTCCCTTGAAATATTAGTGACCGCAAGACAGCAAATTTATTATACAAATTAATTTTTTTTCGACATACTACAAATTTAGACACACAATTAGCAGTATACCACGCTTATTTTTCTTCCATTATGAATTACGGTTTAACGGTATGGGGTTCTTCTAGTCATGCCGAACAAATTTGTATCCTCCAAAAAAGAGCAGTTAGAGTCTTAGCGAAAGTGTCTCGAATTACTCACAGTAAAGAAAGAGTTTTTCATTCAGTTTAAAATTCTTACCTTGTATAGTTCTTATATCTTTAAACTAGCTTTAATGGTTAAAAGTGATTTTGACACATTCATGGAAGAACAACATGCCCATCCCCACAACACTAGATTTTAAAACAATATAAAACCAGTTCAACACAGACTTAGAGGCGGTTCACCAGTCACGGGTTATCCTTAGTTCGAGCGCAAAATCCAGTTATAGCCAATTAAACTTCACCCAATTATGACAGGGATAAACCCGAGCGCAAAAAGTCGGCTTCACGGGTTCAATTAGAGAAAACCCCGGGCCAAATGTCGGGTTCACGAGTCATGGTCTAGCGCAAACTGGATAATCTCGGGCGTAAATAACAATGGTTTTGGACTTCAACTTAACCCTGCTAGGGGGCAGGGTTAAGGTGACATCATGTCGGGATTATCTCATTTGCTCGTTTATTGTTTTTTTGTTAGCAAAAAGAATGTTATATTCGGATTCGCCATTAAATTTCGAACAATTTCATTACCCTCAACATGATATTTATTTTTTTAATTTTTTTACTACTGATTGCCGAAAACACGCAAAACATCGTAAAAAGTAACTGTTGAGACAGTTTAATTAATTATTACTAAGTAAAAATATAACTAATAGCTTAACATATTCATATAAATTAAAATTGCAATCAAATCTTATTGCGTAAATGTTTTATATTTATTTGAGCAATTTTGAATCCTTTTATTTCAGCTGAATAATATCAAAATAAAAATGGTTCCATCAAACACTGTTAGGCTTGTCTAAGAATTTTTATTGTATAAAATTAGTACAATTTTTGTTCCTCCATAAAATTCATATAAAACATAGGTCATTTTATTTAAGTATCCAAATTTTATTTTGTATGTTTTAAATTATATGTTTATATTATTATGTTTATGATTTAACATTTGTTAAAGAAAGACCTTTTCATCTCATAATGTCTTAATATTTGTCATATTGGGATTTACAATAAATTGCTTCAATTTGCTGAGGTAAAAGATAAATTCTATAGTTAAATATACATAACGTTGTATTACAACAAAATATTTGTTTAAATTATAACCTGTTTTCTCATGCTTAGGGCTGCGCTCTACCCGTCTGGCGCGCGCAAATGTTCTTACGGGTTTAGTTCTTAGGCCTGCTGTTTGTAGCCCCAATGGTGAACCGATTTGAAAG